TGGCAAGCTGCAATGCTTGTGCAGATGGAATGTTCATAAGAGCGCAACACTGAATTCCATCCAGTATTCTACCAAGTATTGTAGCACAGCAGTTGTGCTGTATGGTTTTTGAGCCCTAGATATGCTTGGGGTTCTCAGGGGGGCTAAGTTGGACCAGAGAGGAAAGCAGCAGCACAGAATTCTGCATGTGCTGTGAATAAAGCCCTTGATTTTAGATGACTAAACAAGAACATAACCCCACTGGGAACTTCTCCTGCATGAGCTCTATTGGAAGAAATGCTGTGTTTTTGTACAGGTTTCATTAATTCCAGTAGGGTTTGTGCAAGTTAACTATCAGGTGGATTGTGATATTAGGTGGGAACATAAAATTACTTCCATGCTTTGTTTGTTGTATCCTCCTCACTTTAAAAAAATGAGTAATTTGGAATTATACACAGGAATTATGTGCTTTTTATTTATTTCTTTGGAAATGAAACTCATAAATAACTCATAAATAAGTAGGGATGGGGATACTTTTTAAGAACATAAGGCTAAGAAACCGAAGACCTGTCCTGATAGAAAAAAAGGTTTATCTCTGACTAGCAGAAGCCCTAGCTGTGCAGCCTCTGGTTTTGAAAACATCAGCACAAACTGTCAAACTCTCAAGTAACTATGTGGCTAGAAAGGTTCTAAAATGGAGCTGTTTTCCACATACAAAAAATGTCACAGATGAAACAGATCTTTAAAGCATACAATTGCACCCCAGATTACCATCACTGGGTGTAAGGATGGAGAGAAGAAGAAACCTACTCACTAAAGCCATCTTGTTTTGGAACACTTCCCAAATTTATTGTTAAATGAAAGGAAGGAACAATAGGTTTTCACCTTCTTTCCCCATGATGCCTTTAGAACATTTGGGGCATCCCACACACAAGTATTACTAAGTCAGTCCCAGCAGATAAATATGAAATATTTGTTAAGTACAAACACAGCACTTCACAGTGTGCTAGGAACGATCAACGCTTATTTAGTGTCATCTTCTTTGGAACATCTCTTCCAGTGACAACTGAACTCCAGCATAAACATCCATAGAGAAGGATATTAGCTTATATCAAGTAAGCTCTCAGATCTGGAGTACTTTCAAAAAAACATTTTATTTTCAAATGTCCTCTTAAGTATTTTTTTTAAGCTTTTAAAATATCACATGATTTAAATCTGATCCCTCTAAAGCTGATTTTTCAACTGAAAGAAGAGATGTAATCAAGTTCAGTGAAAACACAGGGAGGCCGAAGACTGCAGCAGACAATATTATACAATTCCCCAAAGTTCAAAACAACCAGGACTATGGTATTTTCCGATGAAGCTTCAAGGGTGCAATCTGGTACTCAACACCCTCTGGCTAAGAAGCTTTATGATTTAGCAAAACCCCACTATGCTAATAGAACACACAATGTGCCTCTGCCATGGAAAAGTACACCAATGGAAACCCCCCCCCCCAGATACATATGTGGGTCTGTTAGCACTGGAGTTTCCTGTCTATTCCAAAACCCAAGCTTATGGAACTCCATCTTGCTTGGGCAGTTGCCCTCTCTTGAGCACGGGCCTCACAATGGATCAGGACATATGTCTTTCTGTGTGCCAAAGGTAAGTGTGCTGTAACCACCTGCTCTTATGCAGCAATGTGTACATTTGGCTTCACATCCTATGCTTCACTCCCCTGAAACCCATTGGTGGAAGGGAAAGGAAGCATGCTCCTGTGCGGTTCCTAGCTTAGGCAGAGCATTTCCTTAGCAAAATGCTTGATGCTCGTGAGCTGAATGCTCGTTGCCCCCTTGCCCACCTGCCTCCCCCTATGCTATCCTGGACCTTCCCACCAATGTGGTGTGTGTAAGCTGTCTGTAAAATGTATTTTCATTGGGGTATTGAGCTACTGCCCCAGGAAGCAAGTGAACCTTTGTTGGTGTGTCTACGCAATTGTACTGGCCATCACATTTTCACTAAATGATGACCACCAGGAACAGGGGGGGGGGAGAGATCTGTGTGGATTTGAATTAGAGCATGCTTGTTCCAACTTTGCAGAATACCAAGCACAAAAACAAGTAAGCACCACTGGCAGGCAAAGGCAAAACAAAACAAAGAGGAAACCAAGGGCTTGAAATTAAATTTAGTCCAAGCCTTACACTTTTTACTCTATTTTGGCAGCAATTATTACCAAGTTCATGAAATGCTATAGCAAATCCTGCTCCTGAGAAATAATTTATTTCAATATGTGTCACACCTACAACACATTTCATTTCAAGGATCTGGAGTCTGGTAGTTTTATTTATTTCCTCCACTAGGGATGAGGATGGGGTGAAGTTAATGATTTGCTCTTTGTGTGGAATTAAACCAGTGAACTCCTGGGTGTGTTTCTGTCTGCTTTGAGGACCACAGCACAGAATTTCTCTGGCTGTATCTGTGGACACTACCTTATTCTCTGTGCTTCTTCCATGTTGGGGCCATGGCAACATGGCTTTGTTCCCTTCATGCATGGAAAACATATTGCCATTGTTGCTGGCCCACCTCTTCCTGGTTGACACCGGTCATGTTTCTAGGAGCACTGGGGATATGTCTGTTATTTTTGTACCATTTTTGTATTTTGTGTGTTTTCCCCTCCCCTCCCAGAGTTAGCATGCTTAGGATATGGCAGCTGTTCCACCAATGCAGCAGCAGCATATCCTCTTCCCTGGCATAGCAAGCATATAGGATTGCCACTGCACCTCTAACACTTGAAATAAAACAAAAATCTAATTCCATGCAGTACCAAAACATTTTAAATGTTCTTTTAAAATGTTAAATGGTATTTTAAAACGTAGCACCAAGCAAGTCAGCACCTGCTGCCTAAGAATATATTATAAAGAATATGCATCAGATGGGTTCCCCCAACTGTATCTGATGCACCAGAGCTAAAAGATGCAGCATTTTTATTTAAGAAACTGCACATAGTTTAAAAAGGACTTTCAATTTTTTTAAAAGACCTTTTGAGGCATCTGATCAAGGCCTGTATTTTAAAATGAGCTTAAAGATATATTTGCAAATGTTTGTATGTTTCATGCCAGGCAGAAACCAGCTGGCTAAGTACGGTACTTTGGCAGTTGTTTATCTTCCTGCTCTCCTGAACAAGGGCCCCCCTGATTTATAGCATTTATATACTGAGAGAGTTAAAGGGCAATAAATTTTGGGAAGAGCTAATGGGAAAAGCAGCTGGCTGAGTAAGCCTCACAGAACACAGTTGGATGTCCTTCTAAGTACATATTATAGGATTGCGCTGCACAGGTCAGCATACAGCACCTTTAGGGTCAAATGGCAGCTGGGATGGGAGAAGATTGGATTAGTATTTTTTTTGAACCAGGGGGCAGGAGCTGACCTGAAAGAACGTAACATGTAGTTTGGCCCTAATACATGTGACTGGCACTGTACAGAGACACATCCCATGAACTGATATCTCTATAGTGTGTTAATTTATTTTTTATAGCTAAGTTGGAAGCCGCCCAGAGTGGCTGGGGCAATAATAATAAAATAAAATAATAATAATAATAATAAAATTAGTAGTAGCAGCAGCCACATGTACTGTATACTGTGAAACATGGCAGGAAATTTCCAAGTTGAAGAACGGCCTACCAGGTTAGGAGCTGTAATGGAGCTATATCATGGGACTATATTTGTGGCTCAGTCACAAGGTGTTTAGCTCACAGTCACATGAAAGAGATAGTATTTCAGAACTATGCATATGCTAATCTGGTAGGCATCCATGTTGGGTGCGTGTCTTTTTGTTTAAGCTACTGAAGAAAACAGGTGTGTTTTCTCTCCAGCAAACAGCCTGAGGCTGCATTGGAGAAGAGACAGAGCTTTGATTTTAGCACAGAATACAAGTTATTTGTAATCTATTATGCCTTATGCTGGGACCAGTATAAGAAATACAGAACTAGCTGAATGTAATTTTTATTGTTTAAAGTTATTTTGAAATTAAGTCCTGTGTGTAAAGCTTTTGAACCATATTTTTAGACTGGAGAATTTTTATTTCAATACAAGAGTCAGTTTTTGTTCATCCAGTGGCTTCCACATGCACAATATTAATAATCTCAATAAGAAAAGCTTTCTGAATTGCACTTCACATGTTTAAAACTCTCTGACTGACTGTTGGCTCCAACAGATACTAGAAGCACATGTGACTGCACACCTCTCAGTCTCATACTGCTCTGCACTCTATACAATGAGAGAACTGCTGTTGCTTACAAGCACCTTTTACGGCATGAAGGAACAAAGATGTCACTCATGCTGCTTTCATTCACTTTTCTATCCCCTCTTGACTGCTCTTACGTGTAACTAGGAAAAGAGCAGGGAAAATCTGCCGGTATCGGAAGTTACCTTGTATATTTCTAATTCACAACATAAAGAGCTTAAGAAGGTATTTTCAGTGGGAGCTCTCGCAAGAGTCCTCCAGAAGCCTGTCTGAGCCCGAGCCTACATTTTAGAAGCAAACTTATTTTTGTTTGGTGATAACAAAAAGTCTGGGTATGTTGCCTTTATTTTTAGTTAAGTGTCAACTGGTTTTATTGGAAAATTTATATTTCTGTTTTTTGCAATGGGTTGTATTCAAGTAATTTTTCCTCACAGTAGACCCATTGAAATTAATAGATCTAAGTTAGTCATGACCATTAATGTAAATGAGCCTTCTCTAAGTAGGGCTTTTTTGGAGTTGCAGTTAAAAGACAAATAAAAAAAGATAAGCATTTCTTATAATAGATGATAATGAAGTATCTAAGTCAAAAGGCAGAGTGCAAGTTCGTATTATTGGAAGGGTAATGGGGCTGGAAAGAGGAACTTTTTCATTTAAAAGAACTCTTCCATTTAAAAGAATTAAAAATACATCAGATCATTTCCACCAAAAGCATGTCAGATTTGGATCAACTTTAGCACATTCCAACAGCGTAATTATCAGTGGTGGAGGAACTATGCATAATGACCAAAAGTACCCCCACCTTGTATTTGGTAACATGTACTGGGCCTAGATGCAAAATCCATGAAAATTCCTCTCAAGTGCTCCTCATGAGGGATGTCCTGCCTTTTGCAACGTTCCACTGGTGCCAGAACTTTTGAGAGGTAGAAAAGAGGCGGTTATAAGTAATAAGCAGGGTACAGGGGAGACATGAAGGCAAGAATGGAAATGACTTTATTCTGATTGCCTCTCACAATTCATTATGGTGATATCCTGGCCTGCCATTTTTGCGACATGCCTAAATCCAGTGTATAGCTGAACTGATCAATCTGACATAATTTGCCATATATAACACTGCCCTAGGCAACCAGAAGCAACAACTAGTTTTCTAGCAGAATTTAGATGGTGAGCTGTACTCTAAAAAGGAGGTCTCTGCTCAATCTATTGCATGCTATTTGAAGGTGTGTTCACGCAACATGGGAACAGGGGCTGGGTGTGCACAAAATCCCAACCCCCAGTATCCATATGCACATCACCCCATCCCCACTGCTTGGTCTCCCACCTACATGGGACTTTTATCTGTGTATGTTTGAACGCAAACAGAATAACTCTGTGCAGTTCAGGTCCCTGCTTCATCAGAGTCCCCAGCCACACAGAGGGTTCTACTTGCATTTAACTAAAATTGAGTAGAAGCTCCATTTAGACTAGAGGGGGGAGTGAGAGTGTTAGGGGCAGGTCTTGGGTGAATGCCACTGTCCTCAGCCACACTTTACCTACACTGGTTATCAATATGCTTTGCTTTTATAGTTAATCATATGCTTCCTAAATCTTTCTGGTGAAAATTTGGTTTGGCTTATAGAAAAAAACTGCTTCAAGATTTACAAACATCTTGCTGTCCTTTACACATTATTACCACATAAATCACAAGCACTGGGTCAGGGAGCTGACCTAAAATGTTTTTGAAATTTCTGACAAATACATTTGCTTTATTTAAGTCTGTGATTTTGTTACAGTGGAAACTACTGTACTCCTCTAAAAATAAAGCCTTTGCTTCTCTGAAGCTTTGGAGGCTATCTATTCTTCCATGCTTCTGGGCTTAGAGATGATTTTGCAGAAGCAGACAAGGGTGATCAGAAGCCACATTATAAGAAGAGTTTTGCACCCCAGAATGTATATCAACAGGCCAAAGGGCTTCTCCCCACTATAGCTGGTTTCAGACTGAAAAACAAAGATACTCCCCTTTTACTAAGAGGAGGCATGGCACTGCTTTATGTATTTCCCCCCTCAACTTTTACATAATGATTCTAAGTAATCATTATGGTTCTCCAGGAAACAGACTTCAATTCCACAGGATACCATTTCAAAAACTTTCTTTGTGAAAAATGCCATTTCCTACAGTATATATAAACAAGCTGTTCCATCTACAACAGTAGCACAAGGTTGCAGATGAAGGGCACTATCCAGCTATGTATTTCTGCTACTGCAAGGACTTTTGGCTGTGCAATGGAACTTATCCCTCTCCTCTCCTTTCCCTCCATGCCCTATTCTGCTCTGGGAGTTCCCCCAGACCTCCTGAGCAGATCTGGAGAGGGGGCAAGAGGCATATGGGGAGAAAAGAAAGAAGGGAAGTTCCATATTGCAAGAAGAACTCCTTGCACTAACAGAACTACTTTGTTGGAGACCACCGAGAGCTTTTAACCTGTAAGTGTCTCTCATTACACAGCGCTGTAATGTTAATGGCTTAATGTTTCCATGTTGTTTCCAGTTGGCCAAACTGTCAGTAAGCAAGATACAAGGGCATGAAAGGAACACTAGTGGTAAATCCAGGGTAAAGTTCAAGTCCTGGCCTCAACCCAACATAGTTAAGCAGTTAAACCACTGAAATTACCTCTGTTAGGTTGTGCACATTGTGTCAAAACTCAATAAGGTTTTATCTTTCTTCTAACTTTTCCTAAAATTTCACACCATTCAAAAGTTCCCCTGCACTTGGAAGGTTTCTTTGAATTATGCTATCAGTACCTTGCAGGGTAAACACAACTGGCACATGGTAAGAAAAGGCAATATGTTAGCTCTGAATATATGCATTTATCTGTTGAGAGATACATTATTATATACTGTTCAACCAAGTCATCATAGCTGTTTCATTTCACCAGTTTATTATTTCATCAAATGGCTTCAAATGAAACACTGGATCAAGCTCAACCAAGGCACTAACAGAACTCCACTTGAAATTATCATCTTGACTACAGTAACATGACCCAGTTCAGGCAATCATTCAAGGCTTCATAATCTATGCATTATGAAGCTCTGAATGACCACTGGGTCCCAGCACTGCTCCCCTTGCTTCTCTTCTCCTGCCTTATAGTAAGTCTGAGTTCCCTGCTACATCCAACCATGGGAATTCTGGCTTAACAAACAGGAATGGTTAGTTAGTTAACATACCAGAATTTCCTGGCTCAGGTATAAGAGGAGCTCTGGCTTAATACAAGCCAGGATCTTTGCGCCCAAGTCAGTGCACAATGGGGAGGGGGCAAGGGAAGAGTATTTTACACAGTATTGCCTTCCTGGCTTCATAAAGCACTGCTTCTGAAGCCTTGATTGACTATCTGACCTGGGCCAGAGGGAAATGTGACCCATTGAGAATTTCGCTTGAAATGAGCAGAGGGCACTTCGGATGAAATCTTCCAATCACATACTCCAGAACAGTTTCACTGATTATCATGTAGGAGTAGTCTGGGGCAGTCTAAAGATGCAAATCTATAAAAGACAGAAGAATGTACCCTAATTAAAAATTGTATGTGCAGTGTTTGGCGGGGATTCCCACTATACTCAGCTAATCATTTTGCACTACATGCACCCAAGGAAAAAATGTTTACCTGGGATGGCCACGGTTAACCTTTTTTCCTTGCTGAGACGGTGCCCATAGAAGAATTCATTCATGGAGGCCATGGAAGGGGGGCCCCTCAGAAGAAATGATTCTGTGGAGGTGTGATCAGGGGGGGTTCTTAATAAAGGCAGTAGGTGGGTCCCTGAAGTCCTGGGATGGCTCTGATCACAAGGGGAAGGTGAGAATAGTCTTGCAGGAGATCCAAGAAAAAATACATACGAAAACAAAAGAGTTTTTACTTTAATTACTGAGCAATGGCTCCTTGAATGACATTAGCACATTCCTTTCCCCACCACCACCCTCCACAAAGCAAACCAGCATGTTGTCACCACCCCTATCATTGCTGCCACCCCACAGGAAAACGTATTTCCTATAAAGGGAAGCTTCACTTATAAAATTTAGAAAGAGAAAATACAAGCTGCTCAACATGACCCATCAAGCTGAGTATAGATCACCTGCCATGTACAATGGCCCACCATAGGGTCAATAAAATCTGTTTTTTGCTGCTTGCTTGGGGCTCTTCTTCAGTGTTGTCACGAATTTGAGGCCATAATACATGGTGGTGGTGTGGCTTGGTGGGTTACATCTTGTGCAGGCCCCCACATCCAATTCCCATCCCCCAATATAGGTTTTTAATTATTATTTAGGCATCATGCATATTTTCCATTTCATTTATAATATCTGTATTTAACATTTATGCTGAACATGTAGTACACAGACAATGAAAGTTTGCCCTAGAAGTCTCTGAACAGGGGGAATCTTGTTTAGATACTGTTCGTGGAAGTTGTTCCCACAAAGTGGGGGGATCTTTTGTCCACCATCTTCTCCTTGACCTTCCTCCCCCTGTTGGTGGGACTGCCACAGAACTATATGCAACTCTGCAAACCACTAGCATTTGTTTCTGGGTTTGAATAAAAGTCATCCGCTATTGAACATTTATTCATTTTAACACAGGTGTTGAGAAGCACATCAGGGTAATCACATTCCTTGCCCACATTTCAATAATGAAGAGAAAAAGGAAAGTTTATAAGCACCTTAGTTTATCAGAGGATCATTTCCCTCTGGATGTGGATATGCCTCTTAGACATGCCCCTCCACTTCACCCCGCCCCATCAAGAGGTATATTTTTGCTATGTATTAAGCAGATACATTCAAAACATACAGAATATGCTGAAATGCTGACAGAATATGATCTATGACTATATCAAAAGGAAGAAAAAAATATTATGGGCAGATGGAATTAGTAGCCAGGCTTCCCATTTTGAAAAGTCGCTTCTTCACACAGCCCCATCTCTCAACGACCCCAGCCAAAATATATTCATTATTTGCAATTCAGTGAATGACCTTAATTCAAGTCAGGCCACTGCACTGTACTATAAAGACGACTGCATGCATACCTTTTCCTCTGAGTGCCACTGCTGACCAGTATGTTTGGTTGCTGTGGGCCCTGACTATGCAGGAGGAAAGTGTCTATGGTTGGCACGGTGGCTGATGCCTCCTCACTTACTTTAGGGCTGCCGATCTTGCTCTTTCCAAGTTTGCCTTTGCTCCGCCGGGACTGCTCATGATCAAACTCTAAGTCTTCCAGACGCTGGGTGAGGGCGAGCTTTTGCTGGATAGCCATCCGCAGCAAAGAGTTTAAGGTCTTCTTCTCATCCTCTGCAGCTGCCAATTGCCTCTGCATCTCATCCAACTGTGTTACGTATTCATCACACCTGGGGAGAGAGACAGAGGGAGAGAGAAGTGTCTTTCAGATTATGTGAATGTCCCTCATGGAGAAATGTCAGCAAGAACCAGCTACATATAAAGAAAGTACCCATCACCTGTTATCATGGCAGCTGGAAAAACTATGCCTAAAGTAATCAATGTTGCTGCCTGCTGGCTATATTTATGTGCAGTCTGGGCGAATTGAATGCTTTTCCATGACAGAAAAAGGTACTAAATTTGCCTGAGTCAATGGGCCATAAGACATTTCTAACATGGACCTGCCCTGAATTATTCTCAATTCAATGAGAGAGAAAAACAAAACAATATGCAATCAAAAATGGTCAGCCAAGCAAAAGGCTTCAAGAAACCCACTGAACAAAACCAATTTGAGTGAAAAACCCTCTCAGTCCCGTGACTTGAAATCATGCAACAAGCACAAGTGTGGATAGGCCTAAGTCATTGAAGAACACTATTTCCTCAGTTTCCCATCTCTTACTTGCTCTGAAACTTATATATGGTGCTACTAACATTTATCTGATCTGCTGGAAAGGTGGAAGGTGTGGCGGGACTTGCTTAAGGAAATTAAATTAAATTAATGTAATCTATATTGCAATGTAAATTAAAAATGGACATGACCCCAGGACGTTTCAAGTAGAAATATTCCTAACAGAGCCAAGACATTATGTCATAGTATTAGTAATCAGCTGGAGGGAAGCATATTTAATTATACTGAAAGCAGAGCTTCTTTGCTTACAGGAACTCTCTTTCAGTACAAGCCAAGCACTCAAAAAGTCACAATGTTCTGCACTTAAGTGGACTTTGATGCTTATCAATAACTGATTTGTTTTTTGTTCCCAACTGTCTAAATGCTTTATTAATGGCAAATTTGTTAATATAAAAGAACCACTGCTTTATATATTAACTGCTACATGGACTGCATTTGAAAATAATTGAAACTCTCCAGTGAAGCTCAGAAAGAAAGAACGATCAAATTAAGTAACTCCCAAATTTTACTAAAGTATAAGCTCATCAGAAATTCTGCAGTAAAAATAGGAAAGATTTAGGGAATTTGAAAACTTTTATTATTTATATGCCTAATACCTCTCCATACTAAAGTATCAATTTTTCCTCTTAATTTAATTCAAAGTACTGTTAAGTATACCCAAATCTCTCTTGATATTACTGCTTCATAAGCCTGTTTCTCCCCCTTTTTAAATTATAAGTTTGAATTTTGTGCCTTTTTCTTTTTTTTTGTTTCCTTTAAAAGTAATTCAAACACATTATAAAAAGAATCTTGGCCATATTCAGCTTGTAATAACTGATAACCTCATATCCCAACTGAAATGAACCTGTGCCCTTATGACATAAATAACTACGTGTTTGTCTTATTTTCTCTTGGGAAAGAAGGCCATATTTCCGAAAGAGTGTGATTGCTGGAAGCACAAGACGTCATAACAGGGATCTGCATTTTATCACAGCTTATAATAGAGATTGCTGTAGAGACTGACGGGGGAATGGACTTGTGAAGTTGGGGTGTTTGACTTGGGCTGCAATCCCAACCACACTTACCTGAAAGTACCAGTAAGCCCTATTTAAGTCAGCTGGGCTGCACTGCACTATAAGATAGTAAGCATTAACTATCTGCCTGCTAAGCAAGAATGAACTTTGAGAACTCTTAATGAGAAAAAGAAATAAATGGACTACAGTGGTACTTCAGTTCTTGAAAGAAATCCGTTCTGGAAGTTTGTTCGGCTTCCAAAATGTTTGAAAACCGAGGCGCGGCTTCCCATTGGTTGCAAGAGCATGTTCGGGTTCTGCAAAATGTTCAAAAATGGAAGCATTTACCGTATAACACGCCCCTGTGTATAAGTTGTTGGGCTTTTGGGGGGGGATTGCACAGAGTTGTTGAGCTTTTGGGGGAGATGGAACCAAACACCCATACCCACTACCCGTGTATAAGACACCCCCAGTTTTAAAACATTATTATAAAGTAAACAGAGCTCGTCTTATATGCAGAAAAGTACAGTACTTCTGGGTTTTTGGCGTTTGGGAGCCGAAATGTACAATAACAGAGGTGTTCGGGAAACAAGCTTCCACTGTATTCTTTAAAATCACTTGCATTATCCCAATGTACTATCTTTCTTTATTATTTAGATTGCTTTATGTCAAGGTATATATGATAACGAAATTACATTTATTTATTTATTTATTTATAAAAGTATTTCGGTACCTGGTTGCGAACATGGCTCTCAAGGATGAGAAGGTTGCTGCATCTTCTTTCAAAGCCTTTAACTCATTACGTAGTTTAGTCATGGTTTCTGTCACCATGGCCTTCTCATTCTCATACTTATTCTTCAGATTAGCCAGGGCCACTTCAGCTGTCTGAAGCAAAGACACAGCCATTATATATGTATGCATATTTAAGAACACAAAATAAGAAGAGTCTGCTGAATCAGGCCCGTGGCCCACCCAGCCCAGCATCCTGTTCTCACAGTGGCCAACCAGATGCCTGTGGGAAACCAGTAAGCGGGACCTGAGCACATCAGCACTGTCCCCTCCTGTGGTTTCCAGCAAACGAGATTGAGAAGCATACTGATTGTGACAGTAAAGGTAGGCCGGATGGAACAGAAACTACAAGAAACAGAAGCGAAGATGCTATGTTTAGCTCAACAACTGTCATATTTAACCAGCTGAGACAATATACTCACATTTACACAGCATGTCATTAGTGCAAATTTATTTCTGTCTGGCTTATACAATACAACTGGAACACACTGCATTTCAAACATATGAGGCAAAAGTTTTCTTTGGCTGAAAAAAGGTGGAAGCAGTCTGAGGGATACTTCATCCCGATGGTGCAGTGGTACCTCTGGTTACGAACTTAATTCTTTCCGGATGTCTGTTCTTAACCTAAAACTGTTCTTAACCTGAAGTACCACTTTAGCTAATGGGGCCTCCTGCGTGATTTCTGTTCTCATCCTGGGGCAAAGTTCTTAACCCAATATACTACTCCCGGGTTAGCAGGGTCTGTAACCTGCAGTGTTTGTAACCCAAGGTACCACTGTATAATGTTCTTTTGCCCCACTGTCAACTCCAGTCAAATGTTTTGAAACAATACAAATATCTGCAAACCCCATTTACTGGAAGCCAAGTGGGATGAGTGTACACATGACACTCTTTCAAACTGCCTTCAAATCTCTGAAATACTAGTGCCTACATCCAATCTCAACTCTTTAGAAGAATGCTATCAAAACAGTTTGAATCGTAGAGTTGGAAGGGGCCTCCAATGTCAACTACAAGCCAATACCTGCTGATGCTAGAAATAACACTATTACAGCATCCTTTATTGGTGTCCAACTAATGTCTCATTGCTTGATTCCATGTGCCACCGTAGTAGCAAATACACGGGGTGATTGTTCCAGTGCCTCAGTTGTAAAAGAAAAGGTAAGAGGGCCTTCAGTAACTAAAACACGTCCCCCACAGCCTTCTAAAAACTGGAGCTAAGGCAGCTATCACAACAGATAAAGGACCCGGGCCTCTTTTCAACATCTTTAATCCTAGCACAAAATTCCAGCCCTATCACCTGGAAAAGCTAGATTTTAACCTGCTGTATGTGCATTCCCTGTAACTGTCACTGAACATGGCAGCTTGCAACAGCAAAATTAAATGATCCTGTTGGAATAAGTTATGCTTGCAGATAAAAGTCAAGACAGGGTTAATCTGAATACACTGTTCTTGTACCCACAGCTTGTTAGGTGTGAATCAAGGAACATGGGTTGTGGTTCTGGATAGTTAAGAGTTAACACTCCAGAAGTGTTCTTATTAACTGGGTACACTGCCCACATGACCCAGGCATTTTCCTTTGATCTGTGCTCTGTGGGGCTGAGCTCTCTCTGGAGAGCAGTCTGTCTGAGAATGTGAGCAAGGTAGTTTCGTTTTTGTTAGAGGCAGAAAGCTGCAAGCGTGCAGTAAATTCTGTAGGTTTTTCTTTTCTGTTATGCTTCTAAATAATGAGTTATAGATTAGAAGCACTGGTGTTGAGCTGAGTTATTGAAGACACCACGTCGACACAGACAAGCCATTTTATGCTGCGTGTGAACTCTGCTATTATCCGGCAACTGAGAAGAGTGGCAGTGTGCGGAGTGGAAGCGTGTGGGCGCCATTGGAGTTTGACGGAGTGGCAATAAGTCAAATTTATTGCAGGGCCATTGCAGCAGACTCAGTGGGTCAAAGGAATTACGACCCACAAACTTTAACAACATGTAAGGCATGAGTCAGAGCCAGATGCCAATGATTCAGCACAAAGTAGAGTATAAGTAGCCCTGAATTTGTAACAAGGTGTTGGTAGTGTGGCTGGCTGGAAATCAACTGTGTTGAATTTCTGCTGGGAGAACATTTGCTGGCACACCTTCTATTTGTAAGCTGTCTGCCTAGAACAAGAAGGCAGTCAGAGGTAGAAACTCTGTTGTACTTTTTTAGTGAACTACCTGTCAGTAAATATACTGACTGCACTGCGCTGTCTAGTGTTGTTACATATAGGAAAGGTAAAAAGTTAAGGTAAATGACCCTAGGACAATTAAGTCCGGTCAAAGGCGACTGTGGGTTGCGGCACTCATCTGGCTTCAGGCTGAGAAAGCCGGTGTATGTTCACAGACAGCTTTCTGGGTCATGTGACCAGCATGACTAAACCGCTTCTGGAGAAACAGAACACCATGCTGGAAACCAGAGTGTATGGAAACACCATTTACCTTCCCGCTGCAGTGGTACCTATTTATCTACTTGCACTGGCGTGCTTCCGAACTGCTAGGTTGGCAGATGCTGGGACAGAGCAATGGGAGCTCAACCCATCACAAGGATTTGAACCACCAACCTTCTGATCGGAAAGCCCAAGGGGCTCAGTGGTTTAGACCACAGCGTCACTCACATCCCTTTACAGGAAAAACGGGGGGGGGGTGACAGAGTTGGATCAATGACTAAAGTTTTGGCAATTAGACCACTTGCGTTTGTTGTAGCTGTATTTAGGATTGATCATGTTTTTGGAAGAGTTTTACCTTATGTATAACCTTATGCCTTATGCATAACCGTGTATCCTAATAATGCTTAATTGTTAACGCTAAACATGCCTAAAATCTTAAGACCCAAAGTCTCTCTCTGCCCTGTTGCTGTGCTTGCAGAAAGCAAATATATATTTAGCTACATCTGCATTCTTTCTGTAAGGAACATTCCTCAGACTGTTTCTCAGGCTCATGAAAAAAGCATGAGACGGACATCCTGACCTGAGAAACAGGAAATTGGTTTTTTGCCACATAACGTAATGTATCTGCCTGATAACAGAAAAGGGGGATTTTGGCTTCAACTGCCAAAGGGGTTTCTTTTTCCTCTTTATGCTTTATTTGCTGAAAATAGGGTAAAGGCTGTTGGTGATTTCTTATGAACTTACATGGAAAAGCAGAAGCAATCTTTACATGGACATAGGAAGGGCTTTGCCCCTGTTCATTGGTTTGATTTTGCTGAAATATATGAATATGTAATGTTTAATGTTGTTTGGAATAAGGTACAGTGGTACCTCGGGTTAAGTAATTAATTCGTTCTGGAGGTCCGTTCTTAACCTAAAACTGTTCTTAACCTGAAGCACCACTATAGCTAATGGGGCCTCCTGCTGCCGCCGCGCCGCCGGAGCATGATTTCTGTTCTCATCCTGAAGCAGAGTTCTTAACCCAAGGTACTATTTCTGGGTTAGCAGAGTCTGTAACCTGAAGCGTATGTAACCTGAGGTACCACTGTATATAAACCCAAAGTCCCCAGGGCTCAGGGCCCAGGCTCTGGAAATCATTCCTCTGGGTCTCTATTGCTCAGCAATAAATTTTTACTTTCTTTTTCTCCATTACTGTGTCTATTGATTCTTGAGCCTATCTTGAACGGGTAACAGGTATTCCTGATCTCCTTGCAACACTAGCAAGAATAATTCAGAGGTACAGAATATAGAATAACATGAGGCTGGTAGCACATGACATTATAGCATATAAACAACACTACCAAAACAAGGTTGTGCAGAGCTGAGGCATGATCTTAAGAGCCGCTTATCTATCTTCACGTAAGCAAGGTGTGGGAGCAACTTGGGCAGAGAGCTCCTGACTGGTTCAAAAAGTGGTGTTTTTTATGCATTTTGCACATTTTGATATGTATCGGAATTTCTTATTACATGCACCCTTATTAACGTTTGTTCATTTCATAAAAAGTATATACCACTTGATTGTAAAAAAGTCAAAGCAGTTTATAAAAAAGATAAAACAAGAAAATCAAGAAGAATTACACCCCTATTTTAAAATATACAGTACCAAAGTTAAAATACTAAAATAGATTAAAATTACCTCAACTTTCTGGGTAGGCTGTCTATACAATTTTTTTAAGCTAAGTTAATTGCTAGCTAGCACAATTAAAAGATGAGAAGAAACATTCCTTCCTAGCTGGTTTATGGTTTGTTTGTTTTTATTGCTTTATGGTAGCGTAATTAGCTGGTTTGCACCTCGTATTTTAGTATTTTACTATCAGCAGACCAAAAGGTTGGTATATGTGTAATCAGTCTTTTTCAATCCCATCTATTTAATCTAGCATCCAGGGGAAGTTTGATAATACCACACTCCTGAAGAAACATATCCACAACGTTCACATGCATTACTTCATGTGCATTTCATATACAAATGGATGGAACTGAAAGAAACTGATTAGCCAAAACAGACTTTCAACTGGTTGTTTTTTTTCCTGATATGTATTATACATTTGTGTTTAACTGCCCTCACCTTCTGTCCTCCCAGCTCAAGCCTCCTGGGCAAAGGAAAATACATCTACCTAGATTTCTCCCTTCCCATAGGACTGCTCTACCCATGTTCTACTGCAGCAAAAAAAGTAGCTCAAGTCAAATCCACACTAGTCTTTTTTAACATGTTTGTGTATCCACTCAGGTCTTTACGAACTCTGAATAATTAACTATTTCTATGATTCCATAATACACATTCTTGTAAAGTGCGTTAGTTATCAATTTTTGGACACTATGAGTTGGTTCAGATTTAATGCTCTGAACAGGAGTATGCCACAGGTTCAAGCAGCCTCCTCCACTCATAAGCTCCAGTTCCTTCCTTTGTCTCCTCGTTTATCGTTTGCTATTACATTCAAGCCTCACTATAGTTTGTTTGAAGCAACTTCCAATCCCAAACTTGCATATAATGTCAAACTATTGTTTGCTTGAACAAGACAAGGAGGAAAGGAATTGGGATTACATGAAAGATGAGGGACAGAGAAAAAGGAGTGTTGGAATGAGAGTCAGACAGACGAGCAGTAGGTGTCCTGAGGCATCTCTCTGGGGCAAAAAACCCCGAGAGCTCTCTTTTATTGAATATTGACAAGCATTGCCACGGTGTGCTAGTGGCTGATTGGTTGATACGAAGACAAAGAGACTCATCTTTTATTGGATAGTATAATTACAAGGAGGGATTATATAAGTATATTAATCTTCAATACATCAAAGGCTAAGAAAGAGCTAGAGCTCAGACAGTTAGGACAGCTCCTTATCAAATTAAAACTAGAGATTGATTATAGCATGACTTAAAGCAATTACTAATGATTTATCATAACATAAAGAATATAATTGGGAATAGGTAAACATGAACTTCTTGAACTGAGGACATGAGGAGGGATCTTTGGTATGTGGCCTTGATGCCTTATACACTTTGTAACAAGAAGAGAAAAAGATTATAAACAAGCGAGGGGATTATAATTGAGACTTCCCAGAATGCAAGGGGAAAGAAGCAAGGCTTCGCTTTATACAACAGTTATGCATAGAAAACTTCCATTCAAAGGAGCTTGTTTGAAGTTTTGAGCAGGTCTGAGCTGACCCCATGTAAAAGCAAAATATGATTGGTTCCCTAGGCCTCTGGGATTCAATGCAATCTTGAGTGTATGCCACATTTATTATTATGTAGAATGCTCAAATTTGTTCAATAAAAACTAAGTGAAATAAGTTCACTGTTGCAATAAATTAATTAAACTGTTCTTTTAAAGTAATTTTGGGTTAAGAGTACCTAAAATAAAATAAATTATGTGAGACAGCATGAGTTTGAACAACTGCGAAAGGAAGTGGAAGACAGGAGTGCCTGGCGTGCTCTGGTCCATGGGGTCACGAAGAGTCGGACACAACTAAACGACTAAACAACAACAACAACCTTTCTAATGGCAGATGGTCAGTTAACAGCTTACCTGCTTGTTGGCTTTCAACACAGCCCTTAGGGTCGCTATCTGCTCTCGTTTCGTACTCAGCAGGGACTTCAATTTCAGTATTTCTTCCATTAAGGCCTCCTTGTCCTTATCGATCATAGGTACTAGTTCACGGGCTGCTGCACGCTGCCGGGACAGCTGCAGCGACCGATCTACAGCCTTCTGCAAGTGCTTGATTTGGTCCCTTATTATGGCATTCAGGTTGTAAATATTCATCGGTTCTTTGCGAATGTCACTAGTGTCGGAAACTGGGGAGGAAGGGGGGGCTGTGATGACTGGAGAAATTGTGGGTGTCTTTGTTGGACTTTGCTCTTTGTTGGCTTCTGCACTCTCCCTTGAAATCTGCTCAGTCGGTGTCCTCACTTCTATTGGAGATGCCATCCCTCTCCTAGCCAGCCGTGGGGACAGAAGCCCCCTTGGATCATCAGGTCCCTTGAGGCTCCCACTTCTAGTAACTCTGCTTTGCCTGTAATAATCTAGCATAACCCTATTAGGAGTTTCGTTGTTACACAAACACACATGGTGATAGAGCTGAGCCAGCTCCTCGCTGAAAGTCACCAGCTCATCCTGGGCTGTGTTGAGTGTATTGTGGTTCTCATTTGCAACACCTGTAATTCTTTGCAAGTCTTTTTCCATCTGCATCATTTTCTCGTGGCTATCCTTAGTTGACTTTTCCAGGTTTGTCACCTGCTCATCATATATCTGGATCCTGCTCTCATACTTCGCCTTTTCTTCGGTGTAGTTTTCAACACATTTATTGTATTTCTCCTTCAAGGCCTTTATTTCAGCTTTGAGGTCAATCACCTCCGTGACAGCTACTTTGTATTTGCACTCTAGAATCTCCAAGCCATTGATGTCCACTTCATAGTCATGGGTTTCTTCCCCAGAATCCCGGCCTTTCTCAAAATCTAGCTCCTTCAATTCTTTGTTGCTTTGTAAACCCCTCATAGCGTTGACGTGCTCAGTGAGCCTGTGGACCCGTTCATGTTGCTCAGTAAGTGCCCCCTTTGTGTGTTCCAGCTGGGTCTGTGACTCCTGAAGATTAGCCAGGAGAATAGCTTTCTCGCGCTCCACCTGCAATAACCCAGTGAGAAAAATATTAATGTCTCAAAAAAGAACCTGGGTGCAAAAATAACTGCTCAGTACCCATCGGTATCTTTAAAAGACTAAGCCTAGGAACTGGCACCTCAGCTACTGCTGAGGTCAGAAAGTTCCTCCTCCTAAGAAATCACACAGTATCTTAAATTTTGCAAGAAAGTTGCAATTTATTTATTTAAGGCATTTGTATGATGCCCTTCATAAAAATACATCCTAGGTCAGTTCACAATAAAAAAATACACTAAAATAATAGTGTATTTAAAATTCGGTGTATCTGAAGAAGTGTGCATGCACACGAAAGCTCATACCAAGAACTAACTTAGTTGGTCTTTAAGGTGCTACTGGAAGGAATTTTTTTGTTTTGACTAAAATAATAGCGCAACAAAAAAGCACAAGTTAAAAAACAAGAAAAGCACCTTCCAGATACATCACAACTTCAAAGTCAATTGAGACAGCAAAATAGATGACTTCGCTTCAGTGCTTAAAATATAGCTTCCTTGTCCATCAGACCTAAAAAATAATTTCATTTAAAATGCCAGAGAAACAATGTCTTAACCTGTACCTTTGCTGGTTATTATGGTGGTGATGGTGGTTGTTCTGGTTCCTGTTATTTATAAAGCAATTGGTATTGTGCTAGCAAAAGTAAATAAACAATTCCTTCTCATGTTCTGTGTTCATGGGCCCAGTTAAGGCATCATATTAAACTATAGCTACGTGAGCAAGCAGCACTGCTGGCGCACACTACTCAAAAGCTGCCACAATGCTCCTCTCTCACTCTTGCTGCAGTTGCACCATGCACAAAATAAGCAAGAATCTGGCTTATGTTGTCTGAATCCAGGCTTGTGGTTTATATCCTCCTTATTAACTGCTTCCAGTTTCTTGAGCCCAGATTCGGATGACACAACATGTTGGCCTGCAGCTGGCTTTGTCCACCAGAAAGGGAGCAGCATGAGACCCTTTCTGGGCAGTGTGCATTTGCATGCTGCTCGTTCATGTGAAACCATAGTTTGTTTCCAATTATGGTTTAATGGGGCATGCAAATAAGCCAATATTTGTGTCACCAGTCATAGGCAACAATATTTTCCACCAAACCTGGATAATTTTAGTTGAGATATGCATACCATTCCAAATACTTTAGATATATTTTAATAGCAATTTGAGGGGGAAATGCCATTAGACTAGCAGTGTATTATTTTTTTAAAAAAAAGAAAAGAACAGCAGCAAATGAGCTCTATCAAGTGTGAGTGGTGCAACTTGTTTGATGAGATGTAATAAAACCAAACCTAATTAGTTTAGTAGATGGTGGCCATTATTATTTCAAACCCCATGACACATAAAGGATAGTAATTTATGGAAATGTTAGGTGGATATATAATTAGGAAGAAAGATAATTAGGAACAGTGTTCCTGGCTCTAAGCAATAATCTTGATAGGTAATACATCTGTATTACTGTTGTCATACACAAGCTATATAGGCCTTGTACTGACAAACAATCTACTATAAAATAGTAATCTATCTTGTTCCATGCCACCCCCAATCTCAAAGTTATTTGGATGCTCTGTTGGCTATCACCTTATGAGGAAGTTAAAGGTAAAGGTAAGGTACCCCTGACCATTAGGTTCAGTCGCGGACGACTCTGGGGTTGTGGCGCACATCTCGCTCTATAGGATGAGGGAGCTGGCGTTTGTCCACAGACAGCTTCCGGGTCATGTGGCCAGCATGACTAAGCCGCTTCTGGCAAACCAGAGCAGCACACGGAAACGCCATTTACCTTCCCGCTGGAGTGGTACCAATTTTATCTACTTGCACTTTGACATGCTTTTGAACTGCTAGTGAGCTAACCCCGCCACAGGGATTCGAACCACCGACCTTCTGGTCGGCAAGCCCTAGGCTCTGTGGTTTAGACCATAGCGCCACCCGCATCCCTTGAGGAAGTTAGCCTTGCTTAATTAGCTAATTCCAGAGGAATTAAGTCTAGCTTAATTAGCTATTACAGAAATTAGGTGTCCAACACACAGCTTAATACACACAGGTGTGTCCTAATACAAATACCAGTAACTCTAATACACACTGGTCTGGCTGGTCTAGCTATTTCCCAGTTGTAACACTGGAAATTTAAGAGTGTCTAGCACCCATAAACTTATAACTTGAAACTCATCTGCTTCTATGGAAAAATAATTTAAACTGTATGTAAAAAAGCAAACTTTATCCTAACTCTATAAATATATGTATCTGCAATGTTGGGCTATAAGTAGGTGGAATGGAGGGACAGGATTGCACAGGAGAAGAATCCAAGGAGGCTGCCTGAGGATCAGGATAATTAAAGGAAGTAAGGAATTGTATGCACATAGGAGGAAACAGTGAGGGACGCGGGTGGCGCTGTGGGTAAAACCTCAGCGCCTAGGACTTGCCGATCGCATGGTCGGCGGTTCGAATCCCCACGGCGGGGTGAGCTCCCGTCGTTCGGTCCCAGCTCCTGCCCACCTAGCAGTTCGAAAGCACAATTAAGTGCAAGTAGATAAATAGGTACCGCTTTCTAGCGGGAAGGTAAACGGCGTTCCGTGTGCTGCTCTGGTGCCGGTTCGCCGGAGCAGCTTCGTCACGCTGGCCACGTGACCCGGAAGTGTCTGCGGACAGCGCTGGCTCCCGGCCTCTAGAGTGAGATGAGCGCACAACCCTAGAGTCTGTCAAGACTGGCCGTACGGGCAGGGGTACCTTTACCTTTAGGAGGAAACAGTAGATGCAGCATAGGAGGAAACTGTAGATGCAGAGGTATATATAGTATATATAGTTGAAGAAAACTTAGGCACAGGGCACAGAGGAGGAGAATAAAAAGGAAGGCAAGATAAAACAGGGAGGCATAAGCTTGTCAAAGCAGCACAGAACATAAAATTCTGCATCTGTCATTTTTTCTGTCACTATAATGGGAAAAAGCACATCTGGTGGAATTCTTTCTCCTATGCTGTTACCAGAACTACAAAGCACCCTCCCACCGTGTGGATGCAAAATGTAGTTGGGCCCAATATCTGGTACATTATATGAAACTCCCTTTTTAATGGTCCATGTCAAATGTTACCTGCATGAGCTGCTGTTTCAGTTTTTGCATTTCAGAGATGTTGAGCTCACTGAAGAGATCTGAGACTGGGTGCAGTGATTCTGCTTTCCTAACTGTGGGAGTCCGAAAGTCACCATTCATTTTCATGTGGGGTCCATGAATGTGTCCATTCATTTTGTCATCATTATTAGGTTCGTTCCCATCCTCTCCAAACTTTAATCCATCTACCGAGATATTAATATGGTTATTATACATGCTATCATTTAGATTGATATACTGGGAGAGTTCCTTCCTCAGATTGTTCTTTTTGCTCTCTCTCATTCTTTAACGTCTCCAGGGCTTCCTCTAGCTGATGCTCCGCAATCTCCTTTAACCGGATGGCATCTTCTAGCTGGCTATTAAGCAATACAGTTTCTTCCTCAAATCGTTTTATCTCGTGTTTCAGGCCTTCATATTCAACCTGAATTAGGTAAGATAAAGAACATTCAAAATACTAAAGTTGGATTTACAAACAACCTGCCATTTGCTGCATCTGTTAAACTAAGGTACAAAAAGAGAGAGAGAGAGAGAGAGAGAGAGAGAGAGAGAGAAAAGAAAGACTGAACATACGTACTTAAAATTGTTGGATGGAGAAAGGACTCAGATTCTACTGACTATATAAACTGGTCAGCAGAAAGATGCCCTGAAACCATTGTAATTCTATCGTTAGTTTGTTATATGTTACATCTTTCATAATGATGATTATGTAGTGCAAACCAAGTCAGGGGGAGGTTAACAGTTTTTCAGAATAAATATTATCAGGTGTTGGAATGAGAGTCAGAGAGACAAGCAGCAGGCGTCATGAAAGCAACTCTGCCTCGGGGAAACCCCGGGAGCTGTCTTTTATTGAATATTAACAAGCATTGCCACGGTGTGCTAGTGGCTGATTGGTTGATACGAAGACAAAGAAACTCATTGGATAGTATAATTACAAGGAGGGATTATATAAGTATATTAATCTTCAATACATCAAAGGCTAAGAAAGAGCTAGAGCTCAGACAGTTATGACAGCTCCTTATCAAATTAAAACTAGAGATTGATTATAGCATGACTTAAAGCAATTACTAATGATTTATCATAACATAATGAATATCATTGGGAATGGGTAAACATGAACTTCTTGAACTGAGCACATGAGGAAGATCTTTGGTATGTGGCCTTGATGCCTTACACACTTTGTAGCAAGGAGAGAAAAGATTATAAGCAAAACTTCCCAGAATGCAATAGGAAAGAAGCAAGGCTTCGCTTTATACAACAGTTATGCATAGAAAACTTCCATTCAATCAGGCATATTTCATGAAATTTACCTCTTAACTAAAATGTATTGATTTTGTACCATCAAATGTGACAAAGTATTTTTTTGTAATTTAACAGAAATCCAAGATGTTTCAGGTGCTTATACATATTGCTTAGCCCAAGGCTTACAGACATATATGAAAAATGTATTAACTCAAATCTGTAGAGCATGAGACTCTTAATCTCAGATTTGTGGGTTTCAGCCCACGTTGGGCAAAACGATTCCTGCATTGCTGAGGGTTAGACTGGATGACTGTCCTAGTCCCTTCCATCTCTACAATTCTATGATACTATGACTCTATAACCATTTTTTTTTAACTTTAAAGACACAAATGAAAAATATATGTTCACTACATAAAAACATGAATTCAGGGAACACTGAGAGAGAAAATCGCTCAAAACACATCAGGTAAATTGTTGTTGTTTTTTAAGGAAAATGGTGTAACAAAAGCAACTGAGCAAAAGGTTTTAATGAAATACTAATTGAGACATACATATGACTTATTTTGTCAATCATCTTTTTGCGTATGTTAAGAATGATTAAATAAAAAAATTGGTTAAATAAAATGTTATGAATAAAAGCAGACACAGCAAAATAAAATTGTGAGAAGGTAAAGGTTTGAAAGATGGCATAGAAATATATAAATGTTCCCTGGAAACTACATGTCCAAAATCACTAGTCAAGCTGATCAATATTTGTTGGGATGATGAATCAAGGACAGACAAGGAGATGGTGTTCAGAGAGCGTCTTCTGAGTCTCTCTAAAAAAACCCACGCGTCTCTCTTTTATTCAATATTAAAAAGCATTGCCACCGGTGTGCTAGTGGCTGATTGGTCAATACAGAGACAAAGAGACTCACTCCTGATTGGGTAACATAAGTATAAGACGGGCTTACATAAATTCATTAATCTCTAATACATCAAAGGGTAAAGAGAGCTGGACCTTAGACAGGTATGGAAAGCTCCTAATCCACTTACAACTAAAGATTGATTATAATATGACTAAAGCAATTACTAATGTATGATCATAATATAAAATCACATAATTAATTATACATTGAAGAATAACAGATCATTGTGAACTTAAGGTGAACTGAGTAAACAGAATGGAATGTAAGGAATGGAATTTTAGGGATTTGGGTGCCTGGGACGGCTTTACACAGTGTGCATGAAGGAGAGAAGCAGAGAAGAGAGCAAGACTTTAGTCTTTTCAGGAGCCAAGGAAAGGAAGCTAAGAAAAGTTCCCAGAATGCAAGAGAAAGAGAACCAGTGTTTTACTATACTGGCACATAAAGAGAACATCTCTTCAAATATTCATTTATAATGAGAGACAGTTGGCTCTTTGCAAGCAGCAGAAACATAAATTAATTCCTTTGTTAAAGATACAGCATATATTTATATACTATTCAAGTAACACAATTACTATATAATGAGCAATCTCAGAAGTTAATCAGCGCTTTATCTATGGTATAATTAGCAGTGAATTTTTTTTTGCTGAAAATGGGAGCAATTTTCTGCATAACAAAAAACAAAAGTGATTAGAATTGTCCATTTTTACAAAAAGAAAGAAAGAAAATGAAACACAGCCTCTGCTTACAATCTGCTATTTGTGTTTATAGGGTAGAATAATGTTGGATAGCAATTTACTTCTAAATATAGTCTGGGTTCCAAAGAGCTATTTTAGGCAAGTGTAAGTGCTTGCGAGTCCCCAATGGGATTTTGACTTTATGCTTTGAACATCAGACCCACAAGCATGCAATATCAACAGATTGCTTCTGAGACTCCCTTCAGTTTTGGAAATGTTCTCTCACAAACAACTGCTTCCTTCTTTGGACCCTGCATAAGCTTCTGGCCCAATTGGCTTGGCAGCCAACTCCCCACCTATCTTCAGAGCCTGACCCTAAGGCTTAATAATGCTTCACAAAGGGGTGGTTGGTGGGCTGGAGCTAGCAACTGCTAAATTGACATCAAACATTTAGCCAAATGCACCACTATACACCCAGCTCACAACTCATGGCATTTTTAAAATCTCTTAATGGAGCAGAGCTGTCACATGATAGACTGCAATCTAATCATAGAATCATAGAGTTGGAAGAGACCACAAGGGCCATCGAGTCAACCCCCTGCCAAGCAGGAAACACCATCAGAGCACTCCTGACATATGGTTGTCAAGCCTCTGCTTAAAGACCTCCAAAGTAGGGAGACTCCACCACACTCCTTGGCAGCAAATTCCACTGTCAAACAGCTCTTACTGTCAGGAAGTTCTTCCTAATGTTTAGGTGGAATCTTCTTTCTTGTAGTTTGGATCCATTGCTCCGTGTCCGCTTCTCTGGAGCAGCAGAAAACAACTTTTCTCTCTCCTCTATGTGACATCCTTTTATATATTTGAACATGGCTATCATATCACCCCTTAACCTCCTCTTCTCCAGGCTAAACATGCCCAGCTCCCTTAGCCGTTCCTCATAAGGCATCGTTTCCAGGCCTAATCATGTAGAGTAATCAGATTACTCTTTTCTGTGGTTCAGCATCCACCACTTACAGTACATTTTATTCCATATTTTAAACCATTAACATGATTTTGTGGCACTGGTCAACTAAGTTACTGGTCTTCAGCTGGTGGGTCACAATTTACCGCTGAGTTGCAGGCTGGCCAAATGTGGGTTTGCAGCAGCACTATGACCATTACAAATGTATGGTAATAAAATTAAGAAATAAAGTTGCTTCCAGCCCAACTATATAAATGCCCTTTTAAACCAAGAGATGCCAGGCACTGAACTTGGAGCCCTCTGCATGCAAAGCATGTTTTCTGGCAAACCTCCTTCAACAGTGTCTTCTGTTGCTTGCTCCCATTATCTGGTAATGAATGTATACTGTATTCAAAAATGGTATGTAATTCAGATCTTGGTGTTGTTCCTTTTGCAACCTGTTTCTGAAAATCTAGTTAGTGCTCACCTGGTTCTGTTTCAGTGTGGAAACCAACTTTTGCAATGTAATGTTTTCTTCTTCAAGTTCTGTATAGTCCTGAAGGAGTCTTGCCTCTCTGAACTTGTATTCTCTTATCTCATCTTTCATCCGAATTCTCTGCAGCTCTGCCATTTCATTGCTCTGAAAAGGAGAAAGAAATGAAATATATTGTCATTGTTTCATTTCCAGTGTTATAGGAATTTTAATGTCTTATATATAAAAAATAAATGTTCATAACTGTACAAGGCAAACACATACATAAATATATATAAACCACATGTCTGGAAACAGTACAAGAAAACAGTCCTAAAGCCATTTTGACTCTTTCAGCAACCTCAAATATTTCTCTGCGAGGAAGGAAATGGAAAAGCTTCCCCATTGTCTCTTTGTTCACAAATCCTGTCTTAAGGGTGTGTTTGTGTATGAATAGGGTGAGCCTGTGATCTGGATTCAGTAATTATAGTAGTTATCATCACAAAAGTGGCCAAATGGCCCAGGTAATGCAATCTGTGATCCATTATCAGGTAGCTTGGCAGACAGGAGAAAAACAACACATTCAGATTTCTGCTGTAGACCGCCCCTTCTGTGATGTATGTATGATGTATTGGGGGGGTGTCTTGAGCGAGGCAATTTCAAATATCTATATAAGAGTTTGCACACCACTGTTCTGGGTCCCTCCTGCCTCCTGCGTGTGGTTGTGAGCACTCTGTTGCAACAATTAATAAAGATCAGGCTTGCTGCTTTGCTTCTCAATATTCTCTGGCTGGCCTCTGTTATTTTCTCCTACATGATAGAGAACCTACAAAAAGACTCTATATGGGCTCTTGAGCAACCCATAAGGGAAAAGGGAAAAGTTGTTTTCTTACAACACCAGCAAACCAGTAATGGTAAACTTAACATATACATAAAAATCTGTTCAACCAGACATGCCTGCTATTTATAATGTAGCACCCTGCTTGTGGTTAACGCTTAGCTGGAATGAAATATTCAACGCAGCAATAGAGAAATTAAAATAATAATTTATTTGTCAGACAAATAAATGAGAGGCACAGTGGTATATGGTTACCAAGCTCTGGCCTGCCTCCTGCCATTATGGCCAGCACTTATATTCCCTTAATCCAGCCCCCTTTGCTCCTCCTTGGGCTGCCTCTGTCCAATCAGCCTGGTTGGATTTCCTATTGGCTGATTGCTATAACCAATCCAAAAGATACACCCATCCTCCTGTCCTTATATGGAACACAAAGAGCTATATATTGTTACATCTATAAATGACAAATAAGTAGTAATATATCTTACATGGAATCTTAATTACCAGCTCACCTCTTGCCCTCCTTGCCCTATTGCCTTCTAAAACAAATGGTTAATCTTAAATTTTTATCTTAAACATATGTCAAGGATCTTGAGTTTCACATCAACATTGAAAGATCTCCTTCATTTGAAGGTTTCTAAACAAATGTCTGACAGCTATATATCAGGACTGCTTGGATGGCGTCTTCTTGTCTGGCAGGGGGCTGGCTGGTGGCTGACTTAATTTCAGGATAACTCTTACAACTATATGAAATAAGAATCTAGCATTTCTTAAATCCTTTGCATAATTACATTTAAGCCAATATATTTAAGCTAATATATTTCATACATTATCATAGGTAACCTTTTAAAAGAATAAAGCTTTAAAGTAGAAAGGAAGGAACTCAGTAAAAAACAGTTTTAAAGAAGCCTCTTTAGTTTACACCTCCCCCTTTCACCCTCCTTTCCAGCCTCAAAATAAAATAGGAAGAAGCTTCTTCTTCCCCAGCCAAGCCAGTTGCCTTC